CCAGTTAGGTTACCAGGAGGAAAAGCCTCTGGGATCATAAAGGCTTGTCTTCAAACAAACAGCCATCTCAGTGAGGCACCAACTAACTCCACGTGAAGAAGCACCCAGCCTGTGTGATTCAGGGAGTGTAGTAACATAATCCAAGGCAAAAGAAGGGAATGGTATCAGAGCTTAAATTGTGAGCACCTGGCTTGCAGAGGGCTCTGGATGACAGTGGAAGCCTAAAATCCATTTGCAGGCTCCACACGTGGATTCAGTCTCCGGTGAATCCTCTCTGACCACAGTTGAGGGATGTGAATAGTTTTGTTATCAGACAGAGAGCAATGTAAAGTTGATTATGGCAGACATAACTAGTTAAAATGCAGTATCTTATCCTTTGTTATCCCTTTTGACCTGTTTTAAAGTTGTTTCCGTTAAAAAAAAATGAAGGGGGGGATACACATGGATTAAGCCTCTGACGAATCCCCTCTGACTGTGGACCGGGGATGTGAACAGCCTTGCTCTCATGCAGAACACACTGGAAAGTGGATCTTTGCAGATGCAATTAGTTAAAATTTAGCACCCTCTGATTTGATCATCCTTATGATCCACTTTGTCATTGTTGTTTTAGTTTATTAAAAAATGTTTGTCTGTGAAGTCCAGGATAGGTAAATCTATAGAGGCAGTGACTGGGTTAGTGGCTCCTTGGAGGTACGGCAGGGAAAGCTGGGGAAAATGGGGAGCTAATCACAGTGAGAACAAGCGTGAAGAAAATGCACTACAACTGATTGGGGTGATGGTCGCACAGGTCTCCTTGACAACTGAACTACTGAATTGTACGACGACGTGGGGATTATATGCCAGCCAAACTGTTAAAATAGTCTTCAAGCATCCAAGTGCAGGATGTGTGACTTATAAGTCAACAAAACTGCTGTTAAAAAAGTGCTCTAGAGCCCCGCTCCACCCGACACCCTGAAGCCGAGCCAACTGATGGCAGCGGGGCTGGTAACACCAAAGAAAAGGAAGTAAAATCAAGCCTTTTATCTTCCCACTTTATATCATATGCTGAAATGGGTGCATGCATTTGCCTAAAAGCATATTTAGATGCCTAAGATGAAAGGAAATATT